AAAAGATGAAATCATTTGCTTCGAGGAAAATAAGGACCAAGGACTCCACCAACCAAAAAAAAATGTCCGGTAGCTTCGCGTGTCTGCGTAAACTGATTTTTGCTGATTGTCCCTTTCTCTTCCCCGCACGGTGGCGATAAAAAAGCGGAATTAACGATACGACGGGGGCGTTGCCGAGACAATAAAGAGGAGACCTTGAACGCGTTGCAGAAGCGGAGGTAGGACCGTTTGATGCGTGTAAACGGCGAGACGACTGTGCAAAAATGCGACAAGGAACGGTGGAATTTTTCGAAAGCACCAGGATGCCCTAGAAAATGGCACGTTCCGACACGACGGGGCGCGAAAACAGGGCGTCGTAGGAAGGGAAAAGGATAGTTGGAATCGGAGTAACGCGCCGGACACGGCAGTTGCCGTTCGACGTCTCGAGGCCGCGCGATGTTTTCTACGATAGAAAACATCAGAATTGCACAACATTTAGGCAGTTACGTATTTACAGCCGCTCGATACTCGCAGACAGCCGGCGAGCAACTGAATCGACTTTACGGGTCTATAGATAATAGCTAAGAAGCCAATTATTTCATCGAACACCGAAGGAAGAGGACAGGTGTTGCGCGAACCCGGCGTTCGTGCCACGTTCTGCTCCCAAATCATAAATATTATCGTGATTACTGTCGCGACTGATAATTACGGTAATCTAGGACCCACTTAATTGATTCTTTGCTTGAATCGAGCCAGCCCGATCGTTATGCAACGCGATCAACGGGGAACGTTTTCCGTTCGTTCGCCCGTTACACAAAGAGAGAGGAATCATTAGTAAAAACATCGATTATGTTATCTCCGTGGTATAATTTAACACTCCTCGTCCGAGTGGCGTATCTGTGGGAACGAGAATACACAATTCCTGTTCGCGATTTGAGCAGAGACGGGAGCACGGATGTGGGTTTGTTCAAAAATTAGTACACAACACTTATTCCAAGATACACGCGTTAAAGGTAGATTCAATTGTCATATCGTTTCAATCGATAAAAAGTGAAACGAAACTATGATTAAATAGTTTTCTATTCAGGGTTTCTCGTTAATTATTTATCATTACGAAACAAAATTCTTTCCGCTTTATTATGCGTAATTTACAGGAGCGTTAAAATGTAAAACGGTTGTTAGACTCTAGAGATAACATATGCAAAGTAACTTTGTTCGGAGATTGTGCTCGAAATGGGACACTTGCAGAAAAACTGGGACAAGCCGTTTTTCTAAGCCAAGATACAACAAATTGAAGTAGAACGAAGTTGAATCCCTTAATGGAGACTGTCGTTTGATGATACCATTTTTCTTTCTAGCGCAACAGCGCTGATGCAATATGCACTTACACTTGATTGTTAAATGGGACCGTGCATTGTTGGTTACTTGAAACGATTCTACTTACCATGCTGTGTAGAAAAGTATCGAGACAGCGACCATTGGAAACGCGTTGTACGAATATTTCAGATTCCTTGGATTTGCTGGGATATTTTCAATTCTGTAACATAAAGGGTAAAATTATCGAATATTTCAATGCTTTGCTATTTAAACGAACGACAAAGATATTTGCGGACTCGAAAGAGAACATATTATTACCAATGACTCGACTACGTTTTTAAAATTTTAACTCGGGAAGAAAAGTCTTCGATAAATTACATAATTTCCGACGGGGTTGGGACTTTAAAATAAAAGTTGCAAAAATTAATTGGCGTTTCGTCCTAGTTTTTCTGGCGTACTCGCCAGTCAGGCGGACTCAGCAAACTTTAACCCTAGACGCAATTAAGATTTTAAAGATTCTAACTTTAAAGTATTCGAATCATACATTTTATCAGCGAGCTAACGTTCTTATCAGTGGCGTACACATGAAATGGAAAATCTTACCTACTTTTTATTTCAAATATAAACAGGGGGATTTGGTTAATTAAAAGTAGGTACCTTTAAGTGTACACAATAATTTAGCACGTTGACCAGTTTTATTTGATACTACTTGTGAAAGTGATACTACTTTGAACTAGGAAAAAAGCTTGGTGCAAGTCTTTAAACACCCCTAAAGAATACGTAGAAATAATGTTACTTTCCGTGTAAGTAATATGATACACTTTATTCTATGCAATTGCTCGTGCAAAATTCATCGTTCTAAGTGCTCGTAGGAACTTGGATAATTCGACGCGAAGAAAATGTACACGCAACGGCAGAAAATTAATCCCCGACTTACTGTTGATTTACCAGAAAGAAAGGAAACACCGTTGCGTGCTGGGGGCCCATGTTCGCTCGATTCTCGTACGACCGGTAAATTACGGGCAGTCGTTTATTCAAACAAGGCAAACTGTACCAAGAAAAAGTAATCGACGGCTCCGGTATATCGCGCGCGTGAAAAAGGGAAACGCTGCGCCGCCGCGCGTGTCGATTTCGACCTTAACGGGGATCGGGATCGTTAATGTCTTCATTAAACGTTCCCGTCGCGCCGAAACCCGGAAAAATAATTCGGGGAAAAAATTCTTTCGGCCCCAATTAATTAGGAGTTTCTCCGTATAAATTGGGCCCGCGGGTACGGGTGAAACTCGAGCACCCGTATGGGCCTAACTAGCTTCATGAAAAGACACGAATCGCAGGAAATGAAATACGCGATGCCGCGGTTAAAACTTTCAAGAAAGACGGAAATCGTCCAACGAGGATTACGTGCGTCGACTCCATGCATGAGACCGTTGCCCGAATGATCTATGAGAACGAATATTTCGCGATTCAGGGGATAAATGAAATCGGTATCCGTTCGATATCGTTACGCCTGAAACGTGTAATGGACTTGTATGTTGAAAGGTCCGCCGAAACGATACAATTAAAAACCAATCGTTTCGATGGCTGATCGGGGCAGTTATCACGCTTTGACCTTTTTCGGCCTTTGTGCAGACTCTTCTTCGAAACAGGTATTATAAAATTCAAGAATGTTGCAAAGAAACGAATATTGCTATCAATATTTGTTTATTTGGAATTTTTCGAACGAAAAAACCGATCGCATAGAAATAAAAGCAACGAATTTGCGAAAGGTTGATTCTGCCGGTCTTTTTCGGTCAGGGCAGATATTTTTAACCAACAGAATTGACTCCCGGATAGAAAAGAAGGCTATCTCATTAAAAGTGAAAGATATTAATGATCTATGGAGCACTGAAATGACGAGGAACCGACTCGATTCCCTTTTCCAATCCCAATCGAACGGTGGTCACGATTTTTCTCGTACCGATCGAACACGGTTCTGCTACCCGATCGGCCGCGTTCGATTCCCAATCATATTCCTTCCTCCGTCTAGTCGCATGGCAACCGATGTGATTAATTCGCGTGCCATTTACTTGCATAACGAGTTCCTCCTTCGGTCCAGAGGGAGATATTAATTGCAACATTAAGCCCGAGCGTAGCGGGAGCGATCGCATCGCCCTGTAAACGTTAATCGACTTTATCGTCCCGAGCGATCTGAGAACCGTCGATAATGTCGGTCGACGAGTTACGACTAAATTTCTTGCTCAGGAAGAATGCAATAAGGACGATCATCCCGTCCAGGATGACGTTTGACACGCAAAAATGACCAGTTTCCTTTTAATGGGCTTGCAATTCACTTTCTCCGCGCCGTTCGCGACTTTGATCGTATTACTATGCACGCGGAAATTTAAATTCATGGAATGTTCTTAAACCGTCCACCAGGTGTTAGAGTAACGCCAGAAACGAAAATATTGAAACCTCTTTCCACGGAATCGCGAGCACGGGCGATCGAAGATAAAGGAAAACACACGCGTGCAATCGTTACGCTCAGATTCGCGTGTAAAACGATCGTTTCCATCAAACGGCGGGGCAGAATCACGAGCGGAGAACGCGATCAGGAAGAAGGAGAGAAGGCGCGACGACGTCTAATTTATGGACGTGGACTTCGGTTTTCTCGCGCGTATCCACTTACGACGGATTACGAACGAAACCGTTACACGTTTTACGCTCGCCTCTCCGCTCGCTTTCGTTTCCATCGCGAGCAGCAGCTCTCGTTCCTATCGGCGATCGGAATCTCGCGTTTTCGTCGTTACGTCCGTTTCCAGCGGGCCATTTTTCCCTCCCCGGAGGAAAGTGGGATCCCGTCCAAAGGTCCGAGATACTCGCTGCCAAAACGCGTCAATTTCATAGCTTAGACGGCCTACTTTTTGTTCCCCTATCGTTTCCTTAACTGCCGCGCTGTTTCGAAACTTGGAACGTTCTCTGGTTTATTGAATACGAGCCTACCGTATCCAATTTGAATTAACTGTCCGTTTTCCTTCGATTCCAGCGACAAATACGGCAGATGAAATAAAAGTAAATGCAATTCCTCGGATGAATTTGGTGACAGGTTACCGGTTGACAATTAAAACAGAGTTCGGAATAGAATGATCCGTGTTCATGTTTTTTACTTGAGAATTTCTCGAACGAAAGAAAAAGATTTAAAATAAATAAATTTCTTACGCATCTCTTTCCGACCACTTTTTAAGTTTATCACCAATTTCTGAAGATATTTGAGATACAGAAATAAATAATTATAATATTTTCTGACATATGCGGTAGAACGTGACCATAAAAATTTATTTAGAAACTGTCCTACAGAACTTTCTCCTTATCGTTTAGTATACGCGGACATAAAATTAAAGGGTTGTGATAACGTGATTTTCGTTCAACGATAAATTTATTAACTTGTCGGATTACCGGGCAGCGCGAACTTTTATACTTATCTTTTTAACTTCTTCCCGTACTTTAACGAGTCTGACTCGTGATAAAGATTTTGGTCCAAACGTAAACATTACGAACCAGGCTCGCGGACAGCAAATCACGATCGTCAATGAATTTTTAGTTCCTATCAGTGCGCCACAAGAGTTGGTCACGATTCTTACAATCTCTGTCACAATGCAGTTTAGCATCAGTCTGGTCTGTTTACCGCGCGTTTACGCCTTCTAGATTTAACGTTCCAAACTTTACAGACGGAGTCAAAAACCAGGAGTGTGAACGAGTGCTGCGGAGGCTATAAAATGATCTCATCCAACGACGACGAGATTGGCATCAGGTGCGTGCCATTATGCGAAAACTGCCTCTCCGGAGTTTGTATCTCACCGAACGAGTGTCAGTGCAATCCTGGATATCGAGGAGACAACTGTACGACCGGTGAGTCTAACATTTATCTAACGTTACTCAATAAAATTGCAAGACAAATGGCCTTAGATTATTTATACGTGAAAAATTCGTTTCGAGCCAAACGGAACAACAAGATTAAAAATAATGAAATGCATAAAAGGAAATTTCGAAAAACCGAAAAATGTACTCTTTGTGTCATCGCGGATTGGTCGTTTAACTCGTCGACTCCATAATTCAAATCATCAATGATCTAGCGTCCGATCTCTATGAAACGGTCGACCGACTCATTTTCTCTTCGTTATCGGGAAGAGATTGTAATAATCGATCGTTCACGCCCCGGGCTCGTTTCTGAAACAGAACCAAACAGAAGCTTCACGAACCTTGAAGCGTGCAGAGTACGAAACTCCACAGCGGATATATTTCACGCTCGATGAAACAGGCCGACCTTCCTGCTATCGTAATAACGCGCGCTAACGGCCGAATAATTTTCACGCGATCGTTGCGCGATTCTGAAACCGATGGCTCGATACCGTTCCTCTGTTTTCTTTTCCTACTCTCGACTCTATTCGCCTCTTCGACGTTCGATCTAGCTTACAAGGCAATTGTATAAAATTTTAACGTTAAAATGTACAAGTAGACGCCTTGAAACAACGTGGAGCATTTTTTTAAGTTTAAACACGTATCTTGAAACGTCATTTGCAGGAAAAGGTCTATGCTAAGAGGGAAAATTGAACCATCTCGTAAGTTGCTCCGAGAATCCAAATGTTACTTTCGTTCGAGCTATTCGACATAAAAATCGAACCGGAGTTCCGCGGCCCGGAAAGTGGCGAGGATAAATGCTCGAAACTCTGTTTAAACGTTACGATTTACAACGAAGGCATTGTTTTATTCGCAGTGTGTCCAGCAGGCACGTGGGGCTCCCAGTGCAAAGAGAAATGCGACTGTCCCGAGGACGTACCTTGCAATCCCGCGAATGGACGCTGTGCGTGTCCGTCAGGGTTACACGGACCAACGTAAGATCATGTCAGCAACCTATAGATTTCTCCCTGTGCCGAGGGAACGGTAGAAATCGTGCAAAAACACTAGTAACGTCGATTAAACAAACCTCATCGCTTGACCGAATTGTAAAACCTGTAGCATTCGAAATGCCCAGTTATTGCGCTGTTCGATTCTTGTACACGATGTAGCAATTATTGGCGTCATTAAAGAAAAGTGGAGCACCCATGAATATGGAAACGAACTTTGGTGGAATTATGCAACGAAATAATCGAAGGGACCGTTCGAGAATTTATAAGTTTTTCTTTTTGGGAGAAAACTATTGGGCATACGCGTTTCCATCTATAAATCACTGAACTTATTTTAAATTCCGGTAGAACTCTACGGACGAACGAACGAACAAAAATACCTATTCATTTTTCTTGCTCCGTTTTCAATTATTCTCCTTACGTTTATCGAGGCATGCTTTACGAAGCTGCATTCTGCCAAACAGTTTTTGTCAACAAACTCCCTTCTGGAAAACTCTTCCTACGTCCACGTTCGACGACTTCCGCGTAGTACCTAGTTTGTCACAGAATTACATAAACACGGCGCACAACCTGTTGATCGAACAAGCTTGACAGGTACTTCCATAACTCTGTTGTGATCGCTGTTTTTATTCCAGGTGCGATCAAACATGTCCGGACGATCTCTGGAGTCCCGAGTGCGAATTTCCATGCGACTGTAAGAATTCGTCGCATAAATGTTCCCCAGAGACGGGCCTTTGTCCGCCTGTTGCAACGATTTTCGCTGCCAACCGAGAATCCTCGCAGATTCCCGAGACGACAGAAATCACGACGGAAGGTAATAACCGAGGGAATTCAGTTCCAGGCGAAATATTTATTTGCGTGATGCAACTGTTGGTCGAAAGTCGTGGTCCTAAATACATAATACATCCGACCGTAAACATTTGTCCCGCGAACGCTGCAACAGGGAATCTTTAAACAACCTGAAACCGCTATCGAGTAACTTGCGAGTTTGTGCAACGATCTTGGAACAATCTCATTTACTGTCCTGATTGAAATACAATAGACCATATATTGTCCAAAGTACAGGACTGCTCCTTTTCTTGCTGTCGAGTCGGGGACTCTGTTAAAAAATTGTAAAACTTTTGTATCGTCGCTAAGAAAGATATCTAAGTGGCTCCTTTTCGGTAATACACTCTATGTAAGGTGACTTTGGTATAGATTAAAATGTAAAGTAGGGGAAGAAAATGATCGGATATTGTAGTAGGGCGTCGGAGTAATGAAAGTTCTACATTAATCTTTTTCGAATCATTCTTTGACTGACTTCTTCGATGGATAATTGAATTTCTTCGATTGCAGCCAGCCTCGAGATCTTATCTACGACGGATAATCCTCGTGAAACAACCAGCGTGGAAACTACCATCGCCTCGACCCCGGATCGTTTGAAAACTAGGACACAGGCTCGCGAAGACGGGAACTCGAGCACCGCCAGGCCCGTGATCGTCTTAGTTTCTGTTCCGGAGCGGAGGAGGAACTTGGAAGACGACCGAGGGAAACTCGCGATGAAAAATCCGTTCCTGAGGCACGTCGACGACAACGTCTCTTTGCACGACGTCGCCTTGTCCAGAACGAATTACGTTAAAAACGTTCACAAAGGTAACGACGGCAGTCGGATACTCCAACCAATTCTGTACCGATACCCAAAACGAAACACGGGCCGATGAATTTAATTGTGACGCGTGTAGCAATTTTTAATTGTGCTTGAGAAAATAATTGGGCTCCAAAATTGCAAATAATAATTGAAACTAAACCCGTAATAAAATTGCTCTCTAAATTAACCTTTTCATCTTTTTGCAAATCAAGTTTTAAAATAAAATCAAGCAAACATAATTCTCGTCTGAAAATTTCGAATAGACGAGGTTCAGCCGACGCCGATTCCCCTGGACGTTGCCCTAATCGTAGTAGCCTCGATCGTGTCACTGGGTCTGACCTCCGTGGCGGTCGCGATGATCCTCCACATGCGTTCGAAACTTTTCGAGACGATCAGACTGTCGATCTACGACGTGGAGAAGACCAAGGGCCAAGAGAACTCTGGCTCGGGAAGAATCTCGTCGATAGTCACCAGCACACTTCCACGTGAGTACTGTAATAATTCTTCCGCGGGATCCCGGTCTTCTCGTTTCTCGATGAGGATACGTCCTTGACCTCCATCCTGTCTACCGTAATCCTATCACAGCGAACATCTTGAAACGTTCCGACAACCGGCGCCCCGAGGTGTGGATTAGTCACAGAGGATTAGAATGTTCCGTCGCGACGCGTTTTCCCTTTTCCCTCGAGGGATGAGTTTCACTGTATAACACAGTGTTTCTCAAACTTTTCTGACACTGGCTAACTTGAACAAAACACATAACTCAATTGTCCTCGCGGCAACTCCCTCTGGTCGATGGATCGTGTCTTGTGGTCGAAAGCAGGAGTTCGAGGCTGTTGTGCTATCGGTTTCGAAACAACGAAAACACAAGTCGACTTATATAATTCAATAAAATTGATCAAGTGTCGTTTACTCTGAGCGTTAATTCGATGACGTACAAATAATTTGTTGGAAAAATCGTACGAGCAAGGTAACGAGACTTGAATTTTAATTAATTCGTTAAACTAAAATTACAGAAACCCCTGTCCGTTTGAGTCCCCTGTTCACCTCGTCCCCAGAACCGGGGATGATGTTGACAGTCGCTAGCATCGACCCTTCGTACAACTATGCCAACGGAGCTGCCACCGACCCTTCGTGCAACTATGCCAACGGAGCTGCCACCGACCCTTCATGCAACTATGCCAACGGAGCTGCCACCATCGGTTTTCGTATATCCGGCAATCTACGTGGTAAGTGGAGATCAACGCGTGATCATTTACCTTTTCAGCGAAGAGAACGAGCGTTGAAAATCTTCTCTTTAATATTAAAGTAGCATTAAATCGACATAGTGTTTCCTAATACGTGAAAAATGTTACAGAGACGGACTCGAGAACCAAGGACAGCGAAAACTTACATAAGCGTTTCCCAATGCCTGATTTCTATGATACAAACTTTTATGTGTTTCGCCAACTATATAGTTGTTTCGGTTGAAAATGAACTCCCGGATATTAAAAAGAAATCTGGATACGAACCACGTGGAGAATTTCTGGAATATTGGGTGTACGCAAAAGTATTCCCTGACCTTAGCAATTAATTAAGTAGCGCAATATTTTGATGACGCAAATGCATTAAAAATTCCTTGTTACACTTCGGTACGCGATCGTTTCGAGTATTCTTCATTAGTCCCGGTCTCTTTACACGAATAGCCACGACGATCTTATTGCGAAGAACCAATGGAAATTCCTCCGCCTTATTGCTTTCCGTGCGTTCTATTTCAATAACGTGTCATAATTACGAATTCATGCTGTCTCCTTTTGATTTAACGACTCTAGAGAGTTCTTGTCTTCGTTTTCTTTTGCTTGTATTCTTTCCATGTACCGGATACGTCGGAAAAATCGTCAGAAGCCATATTCTATAATTAAAAACGAACTCCCATAACACGAGCTCTTTTTTCAGGCCTCTTGCAAGACGACCAGTACGATCATCCGCCAGCGACGCTGATTAGCCTGCAGCCAGACTTCGACTCGAACACGGAACACATTTACGACGAAATTCCGCTTCAATCGAGTCCGCTGCGATCCAGCAAGACCGCGTGATCGGAATATTTGAGCCCTCCCCAGCCACCGGAGGGATGATCGATAGCGGTGATCGACCTATCGAATATTGGGATCGGGGCAAAAATGAATCGTAGAAGCCGGCGAGTCCAGGTCCTGTTTCTTATCCTCCACGCGAGCAACGGTTTCGCGGAAGAAAGCGAGCAAGAACTGTCGCGCCGGAGGCGTTCGCGTGCCATTGTTCGAGTCACGCTCTCGCGTGCAATTCCGGAGGCGGATGTGAACGAAGTCGGTTCGTCTACGAGCCGGGAAAAATCCGATCGGACCGGTTTCCGACCTTACGCGGACTCGTCTAGCGTGCAAGGCTGAACGTGACTGCGATCGGTCCTCGGTTGTTCAGAAAAACCGCTAGCGGCGCCGATCGCTGCCAGTGTCGCGATTAGATTATCCGCCGAGGCGTGCAACGCCGACAAGACAACTTTTCCGCGGGACCCGTTGACGTTTGTTGCGATTGGAAGGGTTGTTATCTCACGGAGAACGCCCAATGAGAAGATACTTTTTATACAGGGTTGCAACTATTCGAAAATCTGAAGACTGTGTTAGTTTTAAGAACGAGCTTATATTGTTTACGATTTAGGGACGTTCTCGCGAACATAGGAAATTGTTTAGAAAGCCTCGCAGATTTTAATTATATTTGTATGTATAATCGAGGACCCAATTCTAAATAACTTTTTCTTGTACGCTTTGATTCCTTTAATAGATCAAACGAGAACTCCCTAGATTGTGTTCGTAAAATTAGAAAATAATTCAAAGCAACGAACGAGACGTATTCTTGTCTGGTAAAACCTAGAATACAGGCATGGATCATGTAATTAAGAAAGGGATGAAAATAGAGTGGAATTTAAGTCAAACAGAAACAAACGCACACGTGAAAAGAAGCAGAATAATTAAGTGTATCAACGCGAACGCTTGTCGTGTATAGGTTCTATTCCGTGCAGGTACAAAAATAAACTTCAGAAGTGCAAATAAAAAAAATAATGGATCTCGATAAGTACGAATAACAATGCGAATTGTGAACGAATGTAGGATGGAACGTCTACCTGCATAATGTAACGTCGCAATGTCAACCCGACCATTGAGATTTTCCCGTTGAAAAGCTGTCTGATGACTGTAGAGACCCACCGACTGAATCTAGATTAAGGCCAAATATAATATAAAGGCTAGATACCAAAGAAGCTCGAATTCGAATCTGACGAACAGTGTTCGATCCTGAAACGATTTTCTAGAAAATCCATGTTCTAGAAGCGATTTATGGTTTTTTTCCATCGATTCCTATACAGGGTGTTCGACCACATTTTAAACGTAACATAACTTTTTAACCAAGCCTCAATGAACAAATTGGTATTCTTGATTTTCGTCTTATTTTGGTTTCTGGAATCTCCCATTAAAATTTCCCCCAGGGGTGGCCGAACATCCTGTACTCAGAATCAGCCATCTTTGCTTCGTATTTCTGTTTAAAGTTTGCGTCCGACGCTCGCGTATCAAGAAAAGCCGATAAGGAAATCGCTCAGCGGCTACGCCGAGCCTGCGTTTGCATGCTGACATCATTGATAATAATATAAATTCGTAATGGATTTCGTCTGACGCTGCGCTTTCATCGCGGCGGACTAGAAAAAAAAGCGAAAAAGAAGAACTCCGCGTCGATAACGCGTAATTAGAATAACGTTTGATGATAATCGCGCCTTGTTTGCACGCCAGCGAGTCTACTTCGCAACGAGAGCGAATTGCGTGCCGCTGAATATGGTACGCTTCGATCGGGTGCGCTTCAATGTTCAATTCTAATCGTCTAATTATCCTCATTAACTTCATCGATTACACGAAGCGATTAAAAATTTAGTCGTCAGCATTCGTCGTCGATTAACTTCCGTCGAATACTGAAATTAATCGCTCGCGACAATCGGCGATTCGATTAATAGTCACCGTATTATAATATCCACCATAATATAATCCTTTTCTGGTACTTAACCCCTTGACGTACAATTTAATTACAAGTGGTTTTTCAAATATAGACTATATTTAATTTTTCGTCGCGAATGTTAAAATGCGTTGATTTTTAATATATTAGACTTAACGACTAACGTAGCTTCGTTATGGTGAACCGACTTGTCATTGTACACCAAGGGGTTAATTTTATTTAGTCCAAGATCTTCTGCGTTTTACATTACTGTACATAATCCATTTTTCATCTTCAGTTACCAATCTTTTTAAAAACTGATGGCATTCGTTGCGTTTGAGCAAAAAGCCACAAATTGAGTTCCAATCTATGAAAATAATAAAACATAATATAACGAAATTGTATGTTGTTATCTTCCGTAAGGATATACGTGGATTTCTTGAAACGAAAATGAGAAAATTTGTTGGTCAACGAAATAATTCTATAATTAATGTAATTTTGTTTCTTTTTTCCGGACCCCTGTTTTTTTCAAACCACTACAAGCTTCGTTCGGATGGTCGAATGCTTATCGTTAGTTTTAAAATAGGAAAACGAAGTGGCCATCGCGCTTCGCGGACCCTCGCCTCGACGCTTTATCGCGCGCCCAGCACAGCATCCTTTGTGAAGCTGCGGTATCGGTGGATTACATAAAACCGACAATGCAGGAGCCATACGTTCGGAACGTTTCTATCGTTTCGAGTCAACTCGGAAACGCGTCTGCTGGACACCTATCAATTGCGTCGCTTGATCGACCTTCCGTTGGGAAATCAAACGATCGTTCATGGAAGTTGTTATCAGCGCTTCCTTGTATTTTCGAACCGATAACATCTCGGTGCTTATTCATCGAAAAATTTTAATTTGTTTATTGGTCTATACGGACACTATGAACGACGCAACGTTTTCTACATCTTCGATTGTGGGAGAAAAAAATGAAACCGACTCCGGTTTGAGTCACGAACATTGTCAAACGCCTCGACTTAGAGTTTGAATCATCTTCGGTATTGCAAAACAAAAATATTGACAGAAATTATGCAATATTATTACGAAAAGCGAATCACGAGTAATTTTACTTTAAAAGGAGAAAAGTATAAAAACTGTAACGGACCGAAAGGTATAATGGACGATGAACAAATTAATTATTTCGTGAAAATCAATCTATGTATAATGACTTAATCGATTCTCTCCTTCTTCGTTGTTTAAAAATTATTTTCTATTTTGTAGATTGTCTTATACTATATATTTTGAAGAGGACTCAAACCAAGTCGAAAGGTTACACAATATTATTAAGTTTTTTATTTATCTGTCACTTTTATATGAACTCATAAAATTGGCTTGTTAATCTCTCATTAAGGAAAACAGGAAGTTATCGAACACTGTGTACAAACAGTAGAATCAGTTATAGCGCAGTGTGCGATTAAGAAACATCGTACAAAAACAACTATAACCAGAAAAGAAGTTCGAACATGGAATATGTTTATATGAGCGTTTCATTGTTTTGTGTCCCCAATTCCAACGCTCAAGTCCCATATGTTACACCCTGTATATCTTTTAAATGCGCTGATTCTCTTTAACTTCAGTGTTCCGCAATTAATCTTCCGATAGTTGTACACATATGTGCTTAAGTATATTACGTTATCTTGACCTTACGATAAGTTATTCTCCTATAGAAGGCGGAGCACTTAAAACGGGTCACCTAGATCCCGTTTATTGTTAAAAGTAGAAATAGTCTATGACAAAAGTTGTCTCAATTAATTTCTTTTCTTAATGGACGATGTATTTTTTTGTGTATCAACGATGACAAATTTTCCAAGTTACGTTTCAAGAAAGGGGTATAGGGGTGCTTGATAATTGACACGAGAGTTAACTTTGAAGAATGAGGAGGTGAGTCCCAAATTTTGGGACTCACTGGATGCCGATTTACGACGGGTACTTCCTTTCGTTCGCGAGTTCCAAGAAGCTGGTCAGAGAAAAATCAGTTGACGTTGACGCTGACGTTGGAAGCGATTTCTATGAACTCGGTCAATTTCGACACGGTATTGCGGCCGATTCATAAACATTTCTGCGAACAACTACGCAGCCGAATCGCGAAAATGGTAACTGGTGACCCCAGCGCCTCGGTGTTATCGAGAGAAGATGTCATCACGCGCGCCACGAAAATAAGAAACCAGTCGTTCGTTCGCGCTTGCACGTTCAACATGCGGAGATCGCTGATAGTCTGTGGGACCGTTTTAACGTTCCTGGTCACCGACGCCTTGGCGGTCGAAGGCGTCAAAGGCGGTCATCGTGCTCATCAAGGTGGCAAAGGCGGTCGACTGAATCAGACAGGCTTCGTGAACAGCACCATCCAAGCTGAACTTTGCTACAAGACGATACCGTGAGTAATGCCACGTTTCACACGTTCCGATCGCCTATGTAAATTTTCGTGGTGTCGGTTGTAAAAATAATATTGATTTAACGTCGAGCTTAATCGATGCGCTTGGAAGGTAACGCGTACTCTTCTTATTTATACTACAAGTGGTTAGCACTTAAATAATTATAAGTTACGACGCGTGACCTTTGCTCTTTGTTATTGCGACAACGCGAACTCACGAGTTCGCCCATGTTTTCACGCGACGTATGCACTGTTTCAGTTACGCGGATGCGCTGGCTTTGAACTCCACAGGACAGTTCCCTCACAACACTCTGCCCTCGACGAACGGGAATGAAAAGGTAAATATGTATAGAATAAATCTGCGAAAGGTGATTTTATAGTTTTCCACCGATTAATATGTCTAAATAATACGACGTCCGCGCTACGTGCTATTGGAAGATGAGACGATGCCACACTACCCACAAAACAAACGATTCAATCCACGTAATCCCCACCGCTTCTTAGGTTCTTGGTTATTATTGGGTAAGCATCAAGCCCCTAAACGAGCCAAGAACCTAAACAGTAGAGGGAATTAGGTAAATCGTACGGATGATTCATTATATATATATATATATATTCATTATATATTATATATATATATATCAATTTTGATCAACAGACAAACGGTTGGATCACGATTCTGGATTGCTGCGACGGCTACGAGCGCAACTTAACTTCCGGTAGCTGCGAGCCACGGTGCAACGAAGGTTGTCTAGGCGGCAAGTGCACAGCGCCGAACGTCTGCGCCTGTCCCGAAGGATGGTTCCCGCAGAATGGCGTCTGTATGCCCTACTGCGAGAGACCCTGCCAGCAGAACGCTTACTGTTTCTCACCGAACGTGTGCGCCTGTATGTTGCGCTACGAGGAGGTGGAAGGCGTGTGCAGGCCCATCTGTCCTCGTGGTTGCATAAACGGCAAGTGCGTCGCGCCGAACGTCTGCGACTGTGAACCGGGTTACCTTCTCGAAGGCAACAGATGCGTGCCAAATTGCCCCCAAGGTTGCGCGAACGGCGAGTGCGTGGCCCCGGGTCTCTGCAATTGCAACACGGGCTTCGCTAGGGATTACACTGGCAAGTGCGCTCCACTCGAAGAGTTGTCGAACATCAGGTCCGAATGTCCGACCGGTTGCGGGGCGAACGGCACTTGTGCGGGCCCGAATCGGTGCGTCTGCGACCTGGGTTACCGGGTGGACCCGGACACCGGCCGCTGCATTCCGGCCCCCACCTCGTTCCAATGCAGAAACGGTTGCGGGCCCCAAGGTGTCTGCGTGGGCCCCGATTTTTGCCTATGCAATTACGGGATGAAGGTTGATCCGGACACCGGTAGATGCCCCGACCACCGACCTCCCCCTCCAACCCCGGGACCGTGCCCAAACGGTTGCGAGCCAAACGCTATGTGCAATGCGGCGCTAAATCATTGCGTATGCATGTCAGGGTTCATCCCGGACCCCAACACGGGAACCTGCGTCCGATATATGGGACAACAGACGAGCGAACCGCTCTGCGAGAACTATTGCTTCAACGGGGTGTGTACGGGTTTGAACGAGTGCACGTGCAAACCCGGATACACGATGGATCCGATGGATCCGTCGCGATCCAGATGTTTGCCCGTGTGTAGGAACGGTTGCGTAAACGGCACCTGCACCGCGCCCAATTATTGCTTATGCAACTCAGGATACACGAAGGAGACTGGCGTCAAGGGTCGACAGAGATGCGTTCCGAATGTATAGACTGCTACGTTTTTCTTCTGTTTAGTTGGTTTTTTCTTTGTTCTTGTTTCCGAACTACGATGCGTTGATATCGGCGCGAATAGGCTGTGCGATTGCGAGTCGGGGACGAATGAAAAGAATCAACGACGAAACGCTGGATTGTGTTATCAGCGGCGGAAGATCTTGATGTAATTTTGTACAATTAACGAGTAAATAAAGTTAAAGGAATATCATGCAAACGTTGATAACGAGCGTCCGACGAATCCCCTAACATCCTGTGTGGTCTCTGATGTCACAGGACACGATAACTCAGCGTAGGGAGGGGAAGGGACAGGCGCCAGTGAAATGCAGAATCTGGCCAGCCGATTTAGTTGTATTCCTATCATTCGTTGATTGTTACACTCGGCGAGACGAGAGGACGACTGGCCCTCAGGATGACGGTCGCGAGCTTCCTACTTTTCGTTAGTTTTTCGTTACAAATTATCGCCATGAAGTCTATGGTCGAGGCCTTACCCGACACGGAAGTTGGAGTTTGCAGCGAAGTAATTCAGTGAGTGCATATTTTATTGGAATCGTACTTTCCATTGTCTTTGACTATTTTTTTCGTTCACGCTCGACTCAAACGGAAACAACGATTGTACGTTCTTAGATACCCGGCGACGCGACTCGTAACGTATTACGAGACGTATAGGATGGTAAAGTGGGGCATTTTCTACCAAACCAAACGACGATTGAATTATAAGAAACAGGTAAATACCTTTTCCACTTAAAATCGATATTCTATGAAGTACGAAAATGGGACGAATCGCCAGAAACGCTTGAAAAAATCTTCGTACTAGTAGAGTACAATAGACATGCGCCCGTTTTAAACATAACAGATATTACTTTTTATTTCGTTCGTATCTTAAAAAGGTAATTGGAAAATTAAATCTCCAAACAAATCCTAGGAAATAAATTAAAAAATAAAAAATAGGAATTAATGCTCTTTGTGTAAGATAATTTGAAATTCAATTTAAAACCGTGTATCGTGTCAATGATAAAATTATCGAGTAAAATCCTTTGATTCAATTTTGTCGATTCAACGGAATCGTAAGAAGAAAGTGTAAAGAGTTAATTCCTTTAACTTTTAATTCTTTCGTCGCTAAAAACACAGTGCAATTAGCTTTACTACGAACGCGACTCGTTCTTATCATCTTTGGACCATGATCTGCATCGCGAGCGTGACTCGTGTTCGTCACGTTTGGCTCGTAATACAAACTATACGTTTCACACCATATTATAAGGCAAAGGAAGTGTTTCCAGTGTAGAGACCACGAATTAACTAAGGTGGATTGATCTTATCATTTTTCTTTTCGTCAAGAGTAGAAAAGCTATTCTGATCGACGTATTCAAAGTTGACTTTTTCGTGCATTTTAGGCGATTCGTTGTACCGTGTATCGCACGGCAAGATGGTTCATTCGTTTAAAACCGATTTCAGACATATATGGAGAGCTCTATAATTCTAAAGTGCTGCTCAGGATACAGGAAAACGAGTACCGGCGAGTGTGAACCCATTTGCGACCCCCATTGTGTGAACGGCCACTGCATATCGCCCAACAAATGCGAGTGTGTTATGTATTACGAACAAGTTAGTAACAACGTGTGCGAACCAATTTGTCTTAACTGCGAACATGGAACATGCTACACGCCGAACAGTTGCAACTGCAACGAAGGATATAAAATGGACGCAGATTCTTACACCTGCAAACCGATTTGCAACGAGGATTGCAAAAAATTAAATGCCTACTGCTCGGCGCCCAACGAGTGCACGTGCCACAAGAACTACAACAGGACATCAGATTCGGAAGTGCGTACTTGTGATTTTAAAGAAATAATATGGCCTCCAAACAATCGGTAGACAACTATTTTACAATATTATACTAGGGTGGGTGTAGTTCAAGATTCGTGTTTAATAAAATTTATCTTCCAATTTAATCTTTTTCGAAAGCCAAACATAATTGGGGTTGTAGAGGGTTAACTTTGCGTACTGGTAGATTTCAATATTTCTCGAGTTATTTATTCTCATACTTGCGTGTGTCTGTATAAAGATCAATGGCAAATATTTAGAAATTGGAATTTGATCGTAAGTTGTCCATTTTTAGTCGCAACTACGATTTTTGCAACGTGATCTAAATCACATTATTTTCAAACTTTCGTTTTGTAAAAATAAAATTGTTTCGCAACGAAAGTGAACTATCCACAGATGTGCCAACCGATCTGCACTTCCGAGTGCATAAACGGCCTATGCGTGGCTCCTAACGTTTGTAGTTGCCATCCCGGTTATCAGCCGAGTCGGTACGACTTGTTTGTTTGCGAACCAATATGCGAGCCCGTTTGTCAGTTGGGCAATTGCACGGCGCCATACACCTGTACCTGCGAGCCGGGTTATCAACTGAACGACGAAAATATTTGCGAGCCGATCTGCAGCGAACCTTGCGTGGAAGGCGTTTGCATCGCGCCCGAGACCTGCCAATGCAACTACGGATACGGACTCACGGCGGAATCCAAGTACGTTTGCGAGCCTATCTGCGAGAAAGCATGTGTAAACGGAATCTGCACGGAGCCAGGGACTTGCAGTTGCAAACCAGGTTATAGTTTCCAAGGCGACGATACCATGGAACACTATTGCACACCCCACTGCGAGGTCTCCTGCGACCCTTACGGTGCCTGCATCGCGCCTAACGTCTGCGGATGCTTCGAGGGCTACCAGCTCATCGACGAAGCTAATTATTCTCAGGTAACCGATAGACGATCAAAATTCTGATGGTCCGGCTCTCTCGTTCTTAACAAAATCCGAATTAACCCTTTTGCAGATCATATTCACCTCGGGATTCGCGTTTCTTCGATATCAAAGATTTTCCACTCCCGCTTGAATTTTTCAGTTGGCGGAGTACTACATGAAATCAGTCTGCGAGCCGATCTGCGAGAACCCTTGCATAAACGGATTCTGCATTTCTCCGGGCTCGTGCAGCTGTCACGTTGGATACGAACGATCGCAACACGACCCAAACGTCTGCGAGCCGAGCTGTTTCTTGAGTTGCGCATCCATCAACGGATACTGTAGCGCTCCCAACACCTGCAGCTGCAAGCCCGGCTACGCTACCTCTGAAAACGGTTCTGACGTCTGCGAGCCGATCTGCGAGCAAACTTGCACGAACGGATATTGTTCCGCGCCGAACGAATGCGCCTGCAACGAGAACTACAGTTTCGCGCAGAATTCTTCCAACGTTTGCGAACCCATCTGCAAAGAATCCTGCGGGGACAATGGAATCTGCGTGGCTCCAAACACCTGTCGATGCCACGTTGGCTATCGTTCTATCGAAAACGCCACCGCGTTCGCCTGCGAACCCGTTTGCGAACAAGACTGCACAAACGGTACCTGCGAGTCCCCAGACGTATGCGTTTGCAATCCAGGCTACGAGAAAGAGGCGAATCAACTTTGCAAGCCTTTCTGCGCGTCTTGCGAGAACGGTATGCTGAAATTTTTATTCTCTTTAACAAATAATAATTGTCAACGTATCTGGTGATAGGTACCTGCGTGGAACCGGAAGTTTGCTTGTGCAACGAGGGATACGTTTCCTCGGAACGCAAACTGGAAAACAAAACCGTCTGCGAACCGTACTGTGAGAACTGTACCAACGGAAACTGCGCGTCGCCCGGGGAATGCGTGTGCGACGTTGGTTTCGCCAAAGATAAAAATGAGAACGAAACAGTTGGATGCGTCAGTGTGTGCGATAATAATTGTAACGGCCACGGATCGTGTATCGTCGAAAACGCTGTCTGCGAATGTCAGTTTGGATGGAAAGGATCGTATTGTGACGAACCGTCGTTCTGTATCGTGTTAATGGACGCCGAGTCCGAACGAACGAACCTGTAAATGTCGAAGCTACTATTCGAATCTACGACTTTTTTTTCGTTTTTTGAACACCCATTTATTTCGTAGAACGAATATCGCGAGCTACGTGAACGACACGGTTGCCAGCGTATTTGCCAACAGCACTTTGTGCTCCAGCAATTGCGCGGGCATGATCGGTAACCAGACCTTGTGCTTCGATGGATACAAAAACGACGACGCGGCGAATGACACGATCGCGTGTATAATAAGTATAGGTAAATACGACCATAGAGGAACCCTTCGTTTTCCATTTTGCGAATTCGTATTTTTTTTTCCAGACACAAGATGTTACACGGCCTACACGAAGACGCCTAATTACGTCACCATGGCTGGGATCGGATGTATAGCGATTCTTGTAGCCGGGACCGCCGCTGCGATGTATTTGTTAATACGAAAACAAAGGAAAAGGAAATTTTCTCTTGGTAAACGGTCTCGTCGTTCGAACTACCGAATTCGAAAATGATCGAGGACAGTTTTGGTTCAAGATTCACGTACGATATCGTTTACAGGTGACGCTCCGAGTGCCTCGATGCAGGGACGGGACTCGTTGCTAACCGAGGATAACAATCTCTAGCGTTGTGAAGATAATCCAGTTATCCACAGTACTCCAACTGTAGTTTAATAAATTATTCCTCCAAAGTTATGGTTGCAATTCTCAATAAACGAAGGAACAATGTAGCTCTAACTGCATCCTCGATAAATTTCTATTAAAAGCCTCGGACCCCCGAGATATCGTGCATCCGGTCTCGCTCGGATTACGCGAAACAGTGGCTGGTGAAGGGAAACAGATAAACGGAATGCACGATTGTCGATACGAGCGCATCGGTGGACGTCATCTTTGTGTAAAGAAACATAAGCATCATATACAGGGTGTCCTCGAAGAAGACGGGGTCCTTAAGAGGCGCAATTCGAACGATGAAACTTTTTATTTAACTAGCTTGCGTAGATTCGCTCCTGAGAACCATGGCTAATATTTTTTTCATGCCCTGTACAACGTCGCAGTATTCCTGCTGAATAATTTCTTCCAGCGTATCGTTAATTCTGACGGAGAGAATAAATATTTTGTTCCGTTCAGTGGAATCGTCTAAGTGCTAAAAGATAAATGAAAACGTATTATAGTTTCGTTCGAAAAATACAGATGATTTTCAAAACACAAAGGAAAAGAATTATAATCAGTTTGCGGGACTATCCGAAGCGAAATATTGATAACAACGAAAATTAAGCGGGTTCGCTAAAACCAGGGACATAACGAAGGCGATTAAATTATGTGGCACACCCTATACAAACGCGGCTCGGAAAGTAAAGCCCGTATAACCTACATTCACGTATCATTTCCGTAACATTTCGTGCTCCAGATTTATTTACCCCTTAAAGTATCAACATGTAATTAAGGATCACCCTGTACGCGTAGCGACGTCACGCTGAAGCCAAATGACTACTTCCAACACGATACACAGACCTCCCTTCCGCTCTGAAGAGCATCGTTGTCGACGATGAGACTTCGCGACCTCCTACAACGTTCTTCACAGGCCTGCTCTTAACCTTTAGAAGGGTTGGAACCACCATAATGGCCACCATAATAGCCTCGGGTTTTGATTCTTACGAAAATCACTACCTGGCCAGTTTTTCAGCGACCCAAACAAGCAACCCAAATACAAAGTTTCAACGAATGAAATAATTATTTTACTATTAGTCTACTTCGTATTTTTAACATTTCAGCACTAAATTTATGAGGCGCTTTCTACGCTCACTTGCGATATACAGCTGTTTTGGAACCGATAGGGTTGAAAATATTGGTTCTACGTAATAGTTCAGAATAAAAGTTCTTCGTAACTGTCTGAAGAAACCGATAGTATAATTCCTCCTCCGGCGAAGTGGCAATCGTGTTGGAGTTGTTTGGCGGCATAGCGAGCAATGACGAAGCCGTATGGAAAGGGTTAAACATAATTGGCTAAATAAACTATTTTTTCATTTACACCAAAACCTATAAAAACCGTAGCACATGTCCAATATCTGAGCGTTAAGGGGTTGACTCAAGAAGCCGGTTTCTCTCAAAATCCCGTGACCAGTCGCGGTATTTTCACGACGAGGGTACACCGTTCCGATATTGTTCGTTAAGGTTAAAACAACCTGGTGGTACCGTGTAATCGGACAACTGGACGATGGAGACAGAGAGGACGGAGTAGATCTCGATCGACGTGGACGTGGAGGGTAGGAAAGGAAAGGGTGAGAAACGAGTGGCGTATTCCCATCGCGCAGCTGCAGCGGCGGTGGTCGACCGGCTAACGGAAGGAAGGCGTCAGTGAACGGGGGAGCACGGGACCGAGAACAGTGTTCCGCGACGGTAGGACAGTCCCCGGTCGTCCGTGGTGCGTTCCTGCCTCGTGTGTGCAGGTGGATAGACGCCGTCGTCGGAAGTGTCCGCGGATCCGAGTATCTCGAGACCGAGACCGAGCAAACGAATCCTCGGTACGCGTCCTGAGTCCGGGAACCAGGTGTCAGGTGTGGCCGTGGAGTAGCTGGTGAAGAGTCATCGACGCGATATAAGGCGGTCGTCGGAGGCGTCGAGGGCGAGAGGGCGTGCAGGAGGAGGGCGGGAGGAGGGGGGGAGGAGGGCAGGCGACGGGGAAGGATGTCGATGCGCCGCCGGTGGTCGGTTTCGGGGGTTGACTCGCGCCGCGGGGGCGATGAGCGCACTTCCCTCCGCCCTGAGACTGACCTGCTGCCGTTCCTGGCTCCTGCTGATCTGCCTCGTTCTCTGCCTGATCTCGAGCTGCAGCTGCGGCACGCGTCAGGATCGCCTGACCAGGGGATTACTGGCAGGTGATGACGTGCGCGGTTCCAGCTTCAACAACGACGACGACGACCTCGATGCCTACGACGACGACGAGGACTACCTCGAGGAGAATATCACTGCGGGTGAGTGTTTGCTGCGCGTCCCTGGCCCCCTGTTTCGACGGACGTCCTTAAACGGACGGGGGGATACGCCGAGTCGCGCCTCAACGGGACGCTGCCTAGGCGACACCCTGCCGAGGATGGCGTCGACGGTGCTAACGATTTTTTTCGGACGGATCTCTCGAAACCGTCGAAAAAGATTCACGACGGTCGCTGAAAACGGAGGAGTTTCAAGAGTCGTTGACACGCTCGTAGGCGGTGGAACCGAGTCTTTGCGGTAGAATCGCAAAGCGCACGGCGCAGAATTGCTACTGCAGAATGGAATACGGGGTTACCGAGGTCGACGGATGCTAATCAAGGAACCAGCAAACGCTCAGAAACGACGCTACGCGAACTCGACTCCGTTCGAATCGAGGACACGCTAGAGCGAATTGCCCCCTTGCTAGATACCAGCCCGCCCCGTATTCCGCGGCGATTCGAACAGCTAGTTTGTCGTTCAATCGATACACGCCCTTTATAGAAGGCACGTTATCTTATTTTCTCGGCGAAACAAGGACGATCGAACCTATACGTGTGTGTCTCGAGACTCCTGCCTCGCCTTCTTCGCGCTTGCTCGATACGAGCGTGCAAACACTTTGCAACGGATCCTTCAGCCGAAGGGTAAACACTCGTGATGTCGGTGGCGTTGTCGATGTTGCTCGATCGAGACATTTGCTCTTCGATCGAAAACAAGTAGTTCTCATCATCCTTTTAATTTTCATGCGACGAGCGTTCCTCGAATTCAACTACCAAGACAGAAAAAAGGGTATCTTACGGACCGTCGAATGTCGCCCTTTAAACTCTCACTCTATCTCTCTCTCTCTCTCTCTTGTATGTTCAAAGAGAGATTCACAATAGTCCGTAAACAGGGTGCATTCCGTCGAGTCCTCGACCACTCTGCAAACTCTATGCATCGTAGTTTGCAATTATGCAAATTCGTCGTGCGAAACTGGGTCTGACAAATCAGAGGAAAACAAATATTACGACGCATCGGTGCCCGAGATTGCGCTTGCGCCGACGTACACGGCAGAGGAACTCGTCCTTCTTGATTTTCGCGCCAACCACGCTGCCGGTATTGATTTTAATGGATGCTGCAAGCTCTCTCGGTGTCCGCGTGTGGGAGTTGTGCACACTGCCTGCAGCTGCGTGAGATTCAAAGGAATCTCGTTTCTCCCTCGCCCCGTCCTCCTTCGATGAGAGCGAGAAAAAGGTTAACGAAGAGAAACCGTGCGTCGTTCAACTCCTATTTTCGTGTCCGAGCCATTCACTCAAGTTCCACTTGGGGTTGCTCGGTAACCGGCGAGAAACACCTGGAAATTGCGCCCCCGAATTGCACCCTCTTCGACGAGATCAAAACCGTAATCGTGCGGTTGCTCTGGATAATCTGTTAATGGGTTGCTTGCCAGAGGGTTCTGGAGGATTCCGTGTTAGAAAACTGGAACGCTCCGTTCGATGCTCGAACAAATTAGTCGGATTGGATCGAACGGAAAATCATTTTCGGTTAGCTTCTAGAACATCTTTACGAACGCCTCACCCTTTCACTCGGCTTGGTATACTCCTCTTTTCTTTCGCGAAGAAAGTCATTGAATAAAAGTCAAAAGTAACGCTCCTCCGGATAGTTTGTCATGAGGATTCTTTATCAAAGGGGCCTAGAGAAATTTCTTTTTATATAAATGGAATATCTTAATCGAACAAGTTAGGATTGAACGAAAAGGAATAAAAATATGGCTCGTACGTTCCACTTGTCGCTGCGCAACGTAGGCAGGCGAAGGCGTCACATTTTAAAAGTCACTTTATTTCGAGCGACACCGTGGAACTGAGGTTCTTGGAGAGCCGTATACTCGGTGGTAGAAATATAATGAGGTAGTGGAAAGTGTAGCACACTTGTGTGTCGGGAGTCAAAATATCAGGGGCGAACTTTGTATACTTTTTGAACGGCGTGTAGCGCATTAAAGATCCGAGAGTACATCAAGAGGGCGGTAGGCGTTGCGCACCCTGTGTGAAGAAAAATCTATTCACCGATTTGGATCCTTAAAGATATCGCTTTCTATAATAATTAGTAATCACAGACTGATTCCCAAGAATGTAGTTAGTTTGTAAACAATAGCTTTACACCGAATTATTTATTTTTCAATGAAGAATCACATATATCACCAGATATATAACAATGAACAAAATAAATAAGGATACAAACAAAATTCTACTGTTGAGACATAGTTTGAAATTTAAATGGGAACTTCTAACACCCTTGTCGCGTATGAATACTCGATGCAAAGGAAGGAAGCATCACAATGATAGGAAAAAGCTTCCCCAAGGCCTTCAAAGTACCAAGGAAACGTCGTATCAGCAAAAATGATTGCACGAACTCTGCATTTATTCGACGCAGTAAGCTCGACCGGGCCGATTCATCCGCAGGTTCAGGCATCGATCGACCCCGACTGGCGTGAAACGAACTTACCAGCCAGGAGCCTAATTTCCTGGTGAAAAGTTGCAAGTTCACTATAGAGTACAGTTTCGAAGAAGCTTCGGGGACTTTATACTAGTATTGTTCCAGCAAAGTCACACGGAAACCGATATAATACCGAAATATCAATACCTTTGTAATACTGAAACCGATATACACGTAATACGAAGGTAGAATTGAAAAATACCAATACGAGTCCCTGGCAATCAGGAGTCCAATTTCCTGGTGAAAAGTTATACAGTGGGTAGCAGTTTAGAAGAAGCTTAATTACGCGATGTCGCGGATGTGCTTCTGAACGCTCGCCAACGAAGTTAGCGGTTGTTACCGAGACTCCTTAACGCGGTCCACGCTGCGAAACATTTAATAACGATGTAATACCGTAATTAAGGTGAAATCGATAGACGCCTGGCACGGTGCCCGACCCTGGTACCTCTGACCAAATGGTGCAATTAACTCGTGAAAACTTGGCGCGTTAATTCCACCCCTAAACAAGCGGATCGCACGGCCAGGAGCCAATAAAATCGCGAACAGAGGAGACGCGACGAAGATACGACCGGGTACATCCGGATCGACGAAATTGATATAAAAGGCCGGCGCATCCACGACCCACAAAGAAGCACGGCGACATCAAACGTCTTTTGATACGAAAGTGGCCTGGATAGTGTACCTAACAATGGTTCGTCGCTTCATTAATCGTGCAGTGTGTATGTGTGAATCGTTCAGAATGGCTCGACAAACAGACGCCCGCGACAAGGGGCTGTGTAGCTGAGCGTCAAAAGGGAACACAAAGACGCGTATCGGAGAAGCGAGTTGAAAGGGTCTGGCGACGTTCTCCATCGACCGACCAAATGATAATTGGAGAAAACTGATAAAGGAATGAGTAGCTGCGAAATTGCTATGCGATTCGGTGCGGCTTGTTTAACGCGTCTGACTATTTCTCGCTCTTTCTACTTATGCCAGGAGTTAAGGAAGCGTTCTGATCCAACGCTTTGGAAAAATCGATTTTCTTCTATATTTTTCGTTCTCTTATAGTTTACGATCTTTAAAATATTCTTTTGAAAGTTTATAAAATTAATCGTTTTTATACTTCGACAATAGTCACGATAAAAGGGAAATAACATGTACTGAAAATAGGTAATCGTTATAACAAATGACAGAAGAAGTCGTTTTAATCATTTCAGTAGACCTAGTGTTAACAAAGAAAAAATTAAAAACCACGAGATTTTTTGCACGGACGGATACGAATATATGGCTAAATTAAACGTAGGAAAATTCTGTTTTTAGGGAGGCAGACGTCTTCCAAAAAGTTTGAAAAACAGTGCTCTAGGCAGCGCGCCTATTGTCCGCTAATAATTAATGCGGGGGTGGTTCATGTCCCAAAGAAGGCCTTATTATTGACTCGGGAGTACGAGCACGCTATTTGAGGAACACCGTGCATATTTCATCTACTATCAAGAAACGTCATATACTGGGTGATTCTGCTAACTGGGACAAACTATATATCTGTTCTGAGTGTATAACAAAATCGTGCAGGGAAATTTTGTATGGTTTAATTGGCTCTATTATCTTATGGTACGATTATTGTCCCAAGTGCATCCGATGCACTTACAAGATGCGATTTTCTTTTTTCTTTTTTAATGAAACTATCCCATTCTTTTTATATACATCGATTCCTTGATTCATTCTACGTACGAAAGGTGTGCGCAAGGCCAGCGGAAACTCGATACTTTAGAAGATATTTAATTTAATTTTTCTTACACGTTTCCTGATACTTTTCATCAGATCGTTTTGTGATCGTTTTATTGTCCGGTAGACAAATTTGAACAATTCAATTTCGTTCTTTTCAATCAGTCACAAAATTTTCCTGTACGATTCTTTTTCTATCTTCGGTTAGAACAGAGCTATACTGTCCTTCTAAGCCAAAATGGCGTATTTCTTTCTTTACATCTTGAGTATAAATCGCCTAGGTTTCCCTTCAATTTTAAATAAGCGTCCAAATTCAATATCACTTTAACCGACCTTTGTAATTACCACGATTGATATCACCATTCAGTTGGAAAACATTCGCCAACAGGCCACGCTACGTTTGACGTAATTTTATTCAATTTAATGCATGCTTTTAATTATGTATGAGCAAAATGTATTCATAGGCACACTGAATATTTTGAACGTGTTTCCTCGTTAAAAATTCCCTTTTCTGTAACTTGTGCCCTACTGGAAACAATAATAGAACTGCAGAATTAATATACGTTACATACGAAAAAATTTAAATAAAATTGAATAGTAAACGTTTGAGAAATTGCTTGTAATTAAATCGTACGTCCAGGGGTTAAGATTGGAAAAATTAAAGTTTTTTGGTGGTTCGAAGCACCGCGCGACGGTATACCCAGACATAGTAACTAGAATCACCCTGTAGAATCCAGCAAACTATCGATTTATTCTCTTTTCAGCGAAGGGGCAGTACCTGGGCTCGCCGTGCGATGTCTCGTGTAATCCGGAACTGCAGCACGTGTTCTGCGACGCAATCACCGGTCACTGCGAGTGCGAGAAATTCTATCCAGTTCGTCTTGGGCCTAGCAAAGGATGTGCCAAACGTATGTAGCACGGTTTTCCACGATTCAAGTAGGTCATTCCGATATCAAAAACTCCATGGTAACGCGGACAACGAGACGGGGAAAATAAATGTCGACGGAGCGAGGGAGAGGTTGTTCTGTCGACTTCGAACGATTGTTCGACGCGTCATAAAAGGACGTTTTATGTTTCTCTCGTCCGTCCATAGACTCGATTCGACAACGCGTTCGCACGTTCATCGAAACGCTCGTCAAAGATGAACATGTTAATCCAAATATCAGGTTGAAACGAACCTTTCGAATCCGACTGTTGCTTTGTTCGAATAGAAAAGCAATTCTATCTCGTACTTGCATGCAACTTCCCTGCTTTTAAATTTAAATACAACAAACTTGTAACATTACCACTTAGAATTATCCACTTTATTCTTGACTTACTAACAACTTCACCGGCAGAATCAAAGTTAAAATTCAGGAATCATAATCGTGTCATCAGTTCACAAACTGTTCTTATTAATCGACTAAATTACCTTCGCTTTATAATTTATGATACACTCGAATCAACTACCGACAGAAGGGATGAGCAAGTAGAACTTTGGTTCTAATCGAATATGTTATTATTTTGTCTACTTTCTGGTAAACGTTTCTTGGGGAGGGTTGAAACGGTTGACCCACAATCGATAAAGTGTGTTTTCGTTGAAAAACTACAAGCTTCAGTTCTGCCCCCAAGCTATCTATTGTGTTCTGAAATATCAGAGCTATCGAAGCTCAAAGCATCCAGAAGAATAAAGTCTAAGGTTCCACGTTACCAGTTAAGGGTTGAAACACTGGGTAAGATCAACGAGACGCGGCAGTGGGGTTCCAGCGAATTAAACGACCAACCAATTTTCCAGCCAAAAGACTCGGGGAGCAATGCTTCTATCGCGCGACTTGCACTTTTGCGGATCAGCATGCGACCTGCATCCAAGTGCAGCACAATGCTGTATGCGACTGCGAGGAGGGCTATCATAAGGTTGCCCTGTCCAGGCCTAACAAGAAGGTGTTCTGCGCCGAAGGTACACCGTGCCAACTTATTATAAAACATACATTTCTAAAATTTCAACGAAACCGAATCGTTCATTTTCTCCGCAGAGTCGTAAAATTGGACACATATTCAATTTTGTTTTGATCGTTATATCAAATCATTATTATAATTTTAAACAGAAATTTAATACCAGTCAAAGCAAGGTGAAATATAGTTATTGCTAGGAAATGATTAAATGGCCTGCATGGAACGGAACAGCCAATGTGTAGATCTCGATCCTACCCCTATCGATGGCCTATGGAGCAATCCCTGGCGAGCTTTAATTCTCTTCTAAAGTGGTTGTATATCGAAACCTTGCAATCGCTATCTGTTGGCAGATCTGGTGCTGATAACAACGGATATTCCGACTCTGCTCTGTATAGCATCGGGAATAGCGATATTCACGGCAATGATATGCTTCGTGCTCAAGTTATTCAGTCGTGCGAGATACTCAAGGCCGCGGCACTATGCCAACGCGAATCACGCGCCGCCCATGCTGTTCTCCAGCGACACGGGTGAGTACTTGTGCAACAGATCGACGACCCACCGTGAAAATCGATCCCCCAATTCGGAACGGCTGGAATTTAACGAACCAATCGTGAATTAATTCGCCGCTCCGTCACTAACACGATGCAAAGTTTACGTTTTCAAATAATAATATTATTTGTCGGTGAACGTTCGCTTGCCCGTACGACCATATTTGAATATTTTTAATTTGTTTATTTTCTAAGGTAGAATCGCTCCCTTCCCGGTCGTACCACGATTACTAGGACACTCTGTAGATGCTCCCATATACATATATTGGTCCATGCCCTTTCGTTAAAATGGCGGTGTTCGACTGAACTCTCTCGTGCAAAGGAAAATCGATATCATAAATAAGCCCTAACCTTGCTGGCGCTTACGATCGCTGCACTAACTTCGGCGAAACTGTTCTATATTCCGTTACAACGTTATCCTTCCCGCTGTGAAATCAGTAACCTTAAGTATCGACGAAGAACTCTGTCACCTCCGAAGGTGTCTATTTTCGCTGTGCCCTATTTCGTTAGCAGACTTCGAGGGGGGTCTAATGAGTGAAACACAGTTAACGATTAGTTAAGCCAGTCCTGTCTAAAGTTGTTCCTGGAAACGAAACAGCTTATCTCGCTCTGGCGCCATTAAGTCGATGAAAGGAATACGGCGAAATTAGAAATTAACCTCCGATAATTCGCGTGACTTCCAGGAAGCAATGCATTCCATTCTAAGTCTAAGTCGAGAATAGAAGTAATTTATTTTGACAAAATGAAATATTTCTATCTCGATAAAATGGTGGAAGTGATATTCACAAGGAAGTCGAAGTCTCGGTATTGGTTATTTGTTTAAGCGGCGCCTCAACCCGACGTTTGAAAATTCATACGTGTCGGTATTAATAAGTAAGACATTAAATTAGTCCCACCGCTTGTCTGGAAGGGAATAGAGTCGCTCAAAGACTTCGTACAGGGACAAGACTGACCTAGATCGATAAATACGACCTTGTTCTTTAAAAACTAATCGGGAAAATGGGAGAATGCTTGTTAAACGTTCAAGTCCAATTTAAGATAAAGTGGCGTACCCCAGAAGCCCAATAATTACAGGGAAACGGGGCTGAAAGTTCTTGCAATTATCGAGATTCAAGCAGTGATCGAAGTTTGCATGACCCTTTTTTGATCACCTATCAGGAACTCGAACAACACTTCCTTACGAAATAGGTACTAGAAATACTCCAAGGAAATATGATCACCTTGAAGCAATAATCTCTTTGTGTCACAGGGTTAGAATCTAATTTGTCTGTTTACAAATATACATTAAAATCAGAAAAAAATTTCAACAGGTATCCCACTGACGCTGCACGGCGGTCGACCATCCTCACGCGCCAGTCAGAGAAGCAGCACCGGAGGACCGTTGACCTACGCGTTCACCAGGAGGCCTAGCAGCGGCGGTAGCCGCGGTCCCTTGGTACCGGCGTCGAGAGCAGGTGCGGCACGTGCCGCCGCCATCTTGCTTATATCGTGCCACCTGCAGGCGACCAAAGGCGGGAACAAGCATCGACGTACCCTTAGCGACGTGGCTGAGGGATCGTCCGACGGCCTCGGTAGACGATCAACGATCTCTTTCTAACTCTTTCGTTGTCTGTCTTCTCTTCTCTTTGTCCGCATTCTTTCACACTTTGTACACCACCTCTGTCCGTTACTCTTCCTTTTCTTCTTCTCGTTCGAATGATTCGTTCTTTGGCCGTGTCTCCCTTCTTTCTTCTTCCGTCATCCATTCGCTGTGAACCGGTCGACGAGATCCGACGCAATCGGTCAATAATTTTACGATCAAACGCAAACGAATCGATGACCCTCGGTCCAAAGATGGTTTTATTTGTTTTTTGATTTTCTGAACGATAGTCGCGTAACGTCAGAGCGCAGAAGACCGTTCACTGCCTACCATCCACTCCTTTCTGAGTATCTCTTAAACTTCTGCTCTTCTGACTATCTATTCTCTCATCCTGCCCTACACGAGTCGCCTGCCAAACGGGCGACACCGATGACGAAGAAGAAGAAGATGGTGTGATGGGTGCTTCGTACCAAGCCGTTGTCGCTGTTGTGTCGTAGTTGTTGTTATTGATACTTAGCGTCCCTTGTCCACCCTTCCGACTGCGTTTCCTGACTTTCTTCTTTCGTTCCAACGTCCACGGAGGGCCGAAGAAACGAGGGGAAACGCAGCCTCCGATTTCGTTCACGTTCCCGGACACGAAGAGGCCAACCCTCTCTTTCTCTGTTGTTTGCCAAGAATTAGAACGTTGTTCTATTCTTCGATGCAACGATGCGTTTTCACCGACTATGGCCGTGGCGGTGCTACCTAACGTCCGCAAACTACGTTATTCGTAAAAAAAGAAAAACAAAAAATTGAAACGAAAGAAAGAAAAAATTGAAAACGAATATCTGCATCACTCTTCCACCGTGTCTCACACATTCACGCCCCCGAAAGATACCATGTACACATACGTGTGGCATTCAAAATGTGAACACAAAGCTACATTCACGTGAATATGATTATAATGTAATGTCCAGTAATAAAGCGCTGCACGAGTGTGTTACGAGATAGCAAGATGGCAGCGGCCGATTTCGTTGCTCGTTAACGAACGAACGTTCTCTGGTAAGACGTAGAGAGACACGAAATCTTTACGCACTAGCTAGCTCGCTGCACACGCACGCACAACGGTGTCGGATCGCATGCGAGGGCCCGGCTTTCCAGATGACACTTGAATTTTAACGAACACGACAGTCTCACGTCCACGAAACGAGGTTAAATCTTCCAATTAAGCTTGCCCGTAATGTTTTCGCCGCTATTTATTCCCTCTTGCACTTTAAAAGCGTCGCTTCGAGCCGACAACGAGAAGACGATGGAACCGCTTGCGTTCTAATTGGCGACCGCCTTTGTCATCTTCTGCTTTTCTTCCCGGAGCCGCGACGAACTTGCAAGGGATGCTCCGTCGATGTACGGTCGCGACGATTCTGGTTTGAGCTTTTTAAACGACCAGTAGGGTGGTCCTTAGAGGCTAAAATTTCTTGTCGAGTGCTTTTATCGCAATCCCTAAAGTTATAAGAGTCGATGAGAAAATCCGTGTCAAGTCCCTCTGTAACGTTTACGTTACATCTAACGTTATAGTACATTTCTGTAATTTATTTGAACAAAAGGAAATCAAAGAATAAGGACCACCCTAATGAACGATCGTAATTTCGCCACACGAAAATCCGTGTATTGGCGCAATAACAGAACGTTCCAACGAAAGATAGATTCTACTCGAATTCAAAGCGATACACGGATTATTTCGTTAGATGTGCTTGCTAGAAGAAGAAGAAACTTCTGCCTTTCGTGCTTTAGTGGCTGTTACGGGGACAAAATCAACCAGCAGCCTAAGGCGACCATCCGCCACCATTGTGTCGTTAGAAGCGTCGCGTAGAAAAGTAGGAGTCGTCGTTGTGGGAAACGTCCTTCGGCGTTCGGTTGACTTTGTCCCGAGTATAGCTATCTGTATGCAACAGAATGCACTGTCACTCTTTCTCTGTCTGGCTGTGGATTTTCTGTCGCCTTTTGAATATGCCGTTAATCAATAAAGACTCGTAACGAGGCGCCTCAATTAGGAACACTTGAATAGCTTGCGAGTACCCGTACTCGGCGCACACGACATATGACTTCGATGACCCTCGACTTGAAAAAAAAAGAAGAGATGTCATTTAAAATTTATTTTCAATGTCCGCTACAGTTAGACGCTTTACATAGCTATCCCCTGTTATGAGAACCGTTATTGATTAGTGAGAAAAAACTCTTGTGGACAGACTCTGCTTGCATTCGCTTTCGCGTGTGCTCGCTGAAGAAAAACGCTTTTCATACGCTGCGCGTCACGATACACCAGCAACGCTCTCACTCTTGATAACAATTTTCACACTACAACAACTTTGCACGGTCGCCCGAGACCGAACATATAACAAAGCTCTTTCTCTCCGGTCACGGGAACTTTTGCACCACTTTTTTTCTCGAATATATCCACCGATTTTCGCGAGATTACTCGAATTTTTTAATCTCCGTACACGATCCCGAAACTTCACTCTCGTTTCGCGGTTTTCTCTGTCATCCTTACTCCCTGGGCTTTGAAAGAATCGCAACGGAGCAAGAAGAGAGCCACTTTCGAAGCGCAGCCACGGAGCGCGATCATCAAGCTTGCATTCTCATCGGCAAATAATTAGCGGGCTGAACGATCCGGCGGAGCGCCCGTAATAATCGTACGCCCACCCCCGCGCTGATACCGACGATATCGTGGACCAAGCATGTCAAACTCAATTATCATTAAGAAATAATTTTTACTTTGGTCGTATTGGATCTGCCATCTTGAACTTCGTATATATTTTCACTGCAGCGATACCGGTACTGCCGTGCGTTGTATTTCCGAACTTCAAAGTGGTATATTAAAAATTTTTTAAAATAATAGGGACGTTACAAGCTCAGATTTAAATTCAAAGTACAATACAAAGTTGATCAGGCTCGATTTTCAAGTATCCTCGAATAAATATACGGAGTGGCGTGTTTGACATGCCTGCGTCGTAGAGAAACAAGAGTCACGCTGGTACATTTTAAATAGTCGAGCAGACGCAATTAGAGTCCGTATTCTGAACGACTTCAGCCTAGCAATTAACTCTTAGAGTAGCGAGAGAGAATAGGAACGTTCGTTCACGGACCTCGGACTCACCTTTACCCTTGTTTCCGATAGGTTCTCGTCGTCCTAGCTTAACCTCGGTTCACAGTTCGACGTCCTCGGCGCGTAGTTACAGCGCGCGACGCCTCGAGAAGGAAAGAAACGAAAAGGAACAACGTCAGGCCCTGCAGGAACTGAGGCTGGCTAAGCAACGGGAGCAACAACATCAGCAACAACAACAGGTGGCGCCGACGCCCAGCCCTAGGACTCCGCACTCTACGGATGAGCTGCTGCCCTCCGTGGAGGAAGGGAAAGAGGTCTTTTACAACGAGGTATCTTGCGAAATGTATACAGGGTGTTTCTAGATGACCGTCTCGTGAAACAGCTGAATGGTAGGAAATAGAAGACTTCCATTTTTGTAACGTAGACCCAACATGGTTGAAACAAAATTAAACTTTCGAAGGTAACGAAATTAAAATAGTAAATAAGCAAAACGACAAGCAGTAAGTGTATCTCGTGACCATACTGAAAAGCTGATAAGTAAGAGATATATCTTGAGTTAGAGCCCTCTTGCGAAACACCCTGAATAGGATAGTCGCGAGTCCGAGAACCGCGATGGCCCCAAGCGCCATCAGAACGCTATCGTCGATTTTCGAGACCGCTGATCGCAATTTTTATTACACGTCAGCAGGTGCCGACGACGTCGGACGCCATCGAGGAAACATTGGTGAAAACGACGGCAGTGACGACGACTAACGTGAACGCGAGCAGATTCGGTGAAATGGCGCCGGTCACCACCTCGACAACGTCCATCTTCGAGACGAACATCGCGCCGCGTGCCACCGGTGACATTTTTCAAGTGTAGTTAAGAACCAGACCGGAGTCTGACGGAACGTGGGGGACTCGAATCGTCGACGGAATCGGTGAAACCAATCGTCGTCGCGTCGGCGTCAGGGGACGGGAATCAGGTGCACGTACGCAACGCGTAACACGAAACACAATTCTAAACGAAACAATGTCCCCTATTTAAACGGCCAACAGTCAAGCGCCTAGGAGCAAGGGTCACCGAGAAGAGGGTTCGAGTGATCGTCGGGTACCGGAAGTCCGCGCGTGTACCACGCCATCGCGGACGATGATGGCGCTTGAACGATAACTGTAGATCAGAGATGGGCAAAATTTTTATCTAGATGCAAAGTTCGATTAACAACAAGCAACCTTTCGTCCGTTATCCGTTCGATGAAAATTGCTATTTGTGTTCGATAATTAATTAAATAACGTTTTACGTTGAACCGAGGTTTTCCAAAATACGGTACGTGGGATCGTGCGTGGTCGCTACTCAATAGTACATCGAGTATTGTTGATCCAGCAGAATAATGAATATCTAATTACAGGCACCGTTGCCGCCTCCGTGCACGCCTACGATATTCAAATAGTTCGGGTGTTTCACGATCCTGACTGATAAACCAATAGTAAATACATATACTGCCGTCTATAAGCAGATTCCAGGGGAAAAACTATCATAGTCGCAAAGTTTCAGTGTTTCAAAGAGGAACTCTGTAAACTCCACCCCTTCCTATATACGATCCAAAATTGAATATTCTTCGTTTGTACAGCGGTTTTCTGAATTTTTTTAAGAACGTTGAATGTTTCTCGGCCCCGTGTAACTTTTTCAAGTTTCTATAGAACGCTATTTGTGTTCTCGTACGACGAGATACTTTTACACTACATCTAATTTTTTCAGAATCTTTGAACAATTGTTTTAGCGGGAATCGTCGAAATAGTAATATAGTAGGTTATAAGTACTCCCCCCTCCCTGGTATTGCAAGGATTAAGGAACAATATCTACTGTTCCGATTAGTAATAGTATGCAAGCTATGTATCTAATATTTCTGACTAGCTTGGTGCGATTAAACTTATGGACGGTAGTGTAAACAATTCAAATCTTTACTTATCCGAAACCCGTGTCTTATAAAGTGTTAAAATTCCACGTTAATAAAATAATAGAATAAACGTTGCAACTAAATCGTTATACGGTTATTCGTCATCTATCGTTTAAACAAAATTTTGCCCATCTCTGCTGTAGATACGAAGGGTACAATGATGGCGGAAAGATCGTTAAAGCTGATATTTGTTCGAGCCACGCGCGAAGGCCTAGAAGAATTATTTATTCTAAAAGATATATTTTTAAATATCTAGGTACAGGAGGTACTTAGACGCGGAGCCAGCTTTCAGAGGAAGATATAAAGTCGATGTGATAAGAAAGAGCGCGTTCGGCTGTGAAACACGTAACATTCAGGAATATAACTAGTACCTCGATGCAGGTATGTAAAATGGTAACTCGACACGAAGGTGGTATGCACCGTGTATTTAGGGGCCGAACGAGATTTTGCGAATGTTTCGAATCAACGTTCCTTGGCTGGAAACGTTGCAAGACTCGAATGGCACGTTTTAGACAATTAAACATTTCGACTATTTTGACCCGAGGGTCAATTTGCACTTTGCAACTACGTCACAGGCCATTTTTCGACTGTACCAACTCACATCATCGGATAAAAACTATAACTGTGTAGAATTAAAAGCATAACAATAATTTTCATAAAAATAAGCCAGTAAGATACATTTAATACACTTAAAAGACGTAGACGAGCTAAACAAAATTTGTTTTCTCGACTCTTACGTAGCATTCAGTTTATTCTTCCATTTTTTAAACTATGAATAAGTCATGTAATTATTCATGATATGATTATTCCAGTGGAAGTATGCTAAACCCTTGCACCACGATTTGAATCACGAGTTAGAAATATAAATGTTCTCCGGTGTATAAGAACAACTAAGATTCCAAACACAAAAATATATATATAAATATTTGTCAGGAATTTTATTTCTTACGCATCGAAGAACGTTTCTACTTCGAACTCTCGTTAAATAATATTATTTCATGTTTTCTAATACGAAGAAAACGGAAGTAAATTTGATTGTAACAGCGTCGAATTTATTTCTTAGCAACAATAACTTCTGAATCTGCCTCGAGTCGTGCCACTTTGCGGACAAGGATCGACGAGTGACGAGAAGAATAGAAGGTACATTCGGAATCATTTTTTACGGCTTAAATTTTTTAAGCATTTACGAATCATTAGTTCGTCGATGGGATTTTTTTACGAAGATTCAGGAAACGTCGGGCGATCGTACACAGAACAGATATCAAGCTTCTCAAGTTTGCACATGGATGTTCAGTACGATATTATTATTGTACTTCGTTACAGTTTACTTACATATCAGTGAAATATCAATTTTTTGCTTTCCCTTATCAACGATTTCTCGCACCAAACCTGGGCTAACCGTGATATCGATACTTCGTAGATCTTATTGCGTTAGTCAAGTATCTCGTCTGACATGCAAATTCTAGATTTTTGCGATCGAAATATCGATAAACCATTTATAAGAACCGAGTGTTTCTGGGAATTCCACGCTGATCTCGCGTCGTAAATTTCTACACAATTTTTTGCAACATCTACAGACAACTATCCGCTAAAAATTCAATCACATATCAGCGACGGATTAAAACAATTCGAATGCAGAACAGATCGATCCAGGCGCAAAGAAAAAGATCGAACGAGGGACAAGTTTCGTTGGAAACGCGAAAAGTTTCGCTCGAAGATTTCTCGATCGGATGCACAGGGTGACTCAAAAGTGACGTCACGAACCGAGATCATTCTGGTCTCCAAACTCATTCGCGATACGAATAATTTTCTTCGAAGATGAGATCAAGTTCTTGCGAACAGAAGAAAATACATTACGTAAACGTTTTAATAAGTAGTAACTGTATCACGAAAGGGTTAAAATTCACACAACACACAACTCAGCCTACGTACAAACCATGCGAGGAAATCAGTTAAATCCCAAATATTACTTTAGATTGTACGGAAGTGAACTGAGAAATTTTATCGAAAGCATTTTACAAGATGTGATATATTTTGTTCCAGCGAAAACTATTCCGAGTTTCGTCTTCGAAGAAATATTCCTAAAGCAAGCAATGAATTAACGAATAATTATCGACGCCATTTTGCGAACCGCCCTGCGCGAATATGTAACCGCAAACACGTATAGTGGCATTAAATAGAAACAAAGCTGCGGAAGTATTCCTAAGAAATGCGATAAATGTTCTGCGCCAAAATTTATCTAAACAATCGCTGGGACGTACTTGAAGAAATGAAATTAATTAAAAACGCACCTATATCAACGTACATTCCGTCTCACGTGAAGATACCGACGCGTTCAAATCGTTTCGTTTGCTCGAACGGAATTTGCTGGAATAGAAGAAAGCAATTGGCAGGGCATTCTCGAGTCGGTCGAGGCTAAATATACCTCTAATCTTAGATAAAAATACAAAAAAAAAAAGAAGAAAAACAAAAAATAAAATACCGTACAGGTGCTTCGACGCGTCGCGTCACCGGCGTCGCGAAAATCGTGCGGAAACTGATAAGAAATTGTGCCACGACCCTTGTTGTTTCGTTTTTCCACGACGAGCCTCGCGAAAGGTAAACAATCGACCAAATTCCGTACCGATCGCTGGAACAAACGAATTCCGTTTCTCCAGAAATTATAATACAAGCCAACTACTTCTCGATGTCGCTGAATTATTTATCGCGAATTAAGCTAGCTCGTTCCACGCATCGTTGTAATTATGAAATTAAATATTTCTCGACTCGCCTGAATTCCGAAGGGCAATTCCAGAATGGTATGATCTACGGTCACGAAACGTCGATTCCATTCTCCGGGTTTAGAAAATAAAATTTTATTATTGAAACAGATTTGTTAATACAAGCGTTGTCGTTCATGAATGATTGAAAAACGTTTGCAAATAATATTTGTAGCAAAATATTGTTTAAAAATGATTTCTTAATTAAAATGGTTTCGCGCGTCTTCCTATGTTCGTCTGAGATTTTGAAATCGTTTTAAAAGAAATTGAGTGAGAAACGATCAAGTCCAGAAAACACAAATTTGAAATAGTTACGAGAGTATTCTATCTTTTGAAATTTACCTTTCCTATCGTATATTTTTCAGAAGCTAAATATAATTTGGATCGAAGAACGATAATGCTTGGATGAACACTGTTTTTAAATAATATTTTCGGGCAGGACAACAATTCGTACGATTAAAAATTATCTTTATTTTGATGAATCTCGTGAAATTCTGTTCGCGTCGTGTCGTTCATTGTTGCGCGTATATCGTGGCACACGATTTTCTCGAGTCGCTCGGCTCGCCAATGTAAATTGTAGTGATAAAAATCGTTAAAAATGAAATTATACATATATTATATACGTACACGTGTAAAATACGTAAGAAGCGATCACGCACGGGGGGCTGTGTTGCATTTCACGTGGAGAAAAGAAACGAAAGATGCCTGCCTAGAGCGAGAGCAAACAAACGTATATCGACGTCTCGTGTTCGAATAATTGCGCTGCCTTTCCCGATTAAAATAAATTAACAGACCACACACGTTACACGGTACATACAAAAACAAACAATGAATTAAACACACACGCGTACGCACAGAGATACAAACACACATACACACACGCAACATACAAACCAAAGAGCAAAAAGAAGTAGAGAGACAAAAGAGTCTTAAGGAACATTCTCGCGATTCTACGCGACTCCACGTATTAAATACTCGCGATGGAATCTTATTCTTTACCAGTTTAAAGCGACACCGGATGGAACGCGCGTACAAACACGTCGCGCGTTTCATGAATCGATCGCGATCGAACGGTCTCCGTCGCCGATAAGCGAGTAAATTAACAGAATTATATCGTCGCAACCCGCATAAATATTATTCCGAACTAATCGACTCGACCCGCCGCCTGATTTATAAAAACCAAAGAAATAAAACAAAAAAGAATGGTCGATGTTCGCAGCGTTATCGTTTTATCCCAATTTTAAATGTTTACTGTATGATAAAATTGTAATATAGTCGTTGGGCAAATAAAGCTCGTTTTTCGATATATGTATTATACATGCGCATCGTAGAACATTCCATCCATAGCACTTCCTCTGTCAACCTTATTAGCTAGTGTCAAAGCTGAGATTCGAACAGCCCTACTCGCTTACAAACGACAACGTTTCTTTTGTCTGATCGATATCGAATCAAGCTAATGAGCGGGTGTCCGCCGCGCGAGGCATAAATTTCCGAAATTTTCTTTAATTTTGCATGATCCGGCGTATCGCCACGATCTAAAAGTGCCAATAGGAAAGCCGAAATCGTGACCCGTCTAACAGAGTAACGCGTGGTGCCTCGAAGACAACACGTACAAGCGAAACACGCGATACTTGGAGAATTTTATTTCGAAATTCGAGTGTCAAATTTACTGCAACGATGGAGGAAGAAATAACCATTCGAGTGGAAGAAAACCCTTCGAAACCGGAACGCACGCTGCGCCCCATAATGTACGTCTCTTGGTTCCTGGGCGTCGGAGTCGCTCGTCCTAGCAAGTGTCCTAAACCGATCACTATGATCCTTCGCCTGTTTCACTTTGCTGTTTGCACGGTGATCGTTGCTTTCGCCGCGATGGATTTCGCGAAAAACTTCGGCAAAGTGTTCACCAGCGAGCTTTTCGAGATCATGTACTGCATGAACGAGACCATTCGCCACGTCTCGGCGTATTACTATGTCTACCACGTGATACAACAGTACGACAAGTGGCCTGAACTGACGAGAAAGATAAAATTGTTGGACGAACACATCGGCAAAGAGCTACCGATAAACGACAGGCCAGTCAGAATTAAACAGATCCTGGCTATTATGATAGTCTGTTTGCTCGGCCCTGTATCGCTGGCTGCTCACGTTTGCTATTATTATTTCATTGCTCCCGATCAGATCTTCGCGTCCGATTTGCTTTTTTATTACACGATCGCCCAGGCCCTGGCGAACAGTTTCGTGTTCGACATCGTCGTGTACATGGTCTGTCAGAGATTCAGAGCGATCAACGGGACGATCGAGCAGTTGGACGAAAGATTGGGCGCGTACTGGGTTGCCTCGAAGATTCGGAGGATCAGAAAGCTACACAGTGGCACGTAAAAAGTCTTTGGAAAGTTTCAAATGCTGTACAAGAAAATATTACGCTTCTTTGCAGCAATTTAGAGTCTTTTCCAAAAATTCAAGCATCGATTCTCTCCTTGCAGAAGCATGCTCCGTGATAGCGACGATAAACGAGATCTACGGAATAGATCTGTTGTTGTGTTCGACGAACGCGTTCATAACAGTGGTAGCGAAGCTCTTTAGAATCTACATGAGCGCGGCGGAGCATAAAATCGGTTTCATATTTTTGAACAACATTATCTGGATGATCTACGGTGGCCAATTCATCGTGATGTGTTGGGTATGCACGTTGACGCACCGGGAGATAAATAAAATTGGCCCGTGCGTGGAGGAGTTCGTATTGAATATCCAAAACGCGACGAAATTCGATAGATCGACAGCTTTCAGAAGTTTGCGTAACGAAGAACCGACACGGTTGAAGATCTACGACGATCGATCCGCGACGAGTCTAAACGGTTTCGGCATGGAAAGTCTTTTGCGACCGAATTTCGAACGTGATTGCGTCCGTAACGAGGCTAACGATTTCGCGTTACAGTTGCAACAATATCGCGTTAAATTTACGGCCTGCGACTTTTTCGAAATGGGCAACTCCTTGCTGACGAGAGTGAGTATAATAAAAATATTTCCTGTTCGTTAATAATTGCTAAATTCTTTTCAGTTCGTCAGCGTTATCACCACATACTTGATCATTCTCGTTCAGTTCTATAAACCCGAGGAGACCTCGAAGTCTCAACCTTCATAAAATGATTCGATTGGTAAGAATGCAGGCACGAAGACTAGCTATGTAGTCAAAAAAATGATCTCTTAAGAGGAATCCAGTCAAATAAGAATAAGTATTTATATAATATATAAATAAATTTATTTAAATACTTTTCATTTCAAAAAGAAAATTGTAGAGGCGGCGAGGGGTATTAACGACGATAAGGGATCAGTCGGATATTAAGTTACAGTATTTCTGTAATATTATATAAATAAAATTTATTCAAATACCTTCTCACAGAAAATAAAGTCTCTGATATCACAAAATCTGTTGCGTGTAAACTATACATATAAGTCAGTGCGTGAGCTATGAATGTATGGCGTTAATAATACACCAAATCTCACGCTTCGAGGATCTTCCATAGATGACCAATCGCGGCAACTTCGTGATTCAACCGCGCAATCCTATTTCTATTTCTTTTAGATCTAGGATTTCCAAATATCCTAGGTGAGACAGTAAGACAACTTCTAGAATGAAAAAGTTACTAAAGCAGAACATTGTGCATCGCCTATAGGAAGTGCTTTCTATATATCTATCCTTCAATGCATCACATATAACCTTACTATTACAGAAGAATTTCAAAACAAGGCGAAAAATATATGCATGAGATGACAGAAAATAATAGTAAATAATCGTAAAAGAAGGCAGTGTATATGACAAATGGTATTTTGTATTTACTACGTACTATTTTTATTTAGTATATATAAGAAGTAACAAAATAATATAGTACTGATTTGCTTAATATTTTTAGTTGTTAATATTGGAACAAATTAAACTCAAACTTTTTTCATTCAATCTACCCATTGGGATTCCATTCATATAAATATTTGTTCCGCAACAGTATTGTGTACCGGAATAGCAAACATATTGGCACATCTTTAAGAATTCTGAATATTGGTTTTTATTCATTACTGATTTAAAAAATTAACCCACTTTTCATTTACAGATTTTTGCATGCTCATCTGAATTAAAATTTGTATTGCAATTATCATAGAAAGCAATACATTTTTCTAAACAATTAATTTCCTTTAAAGTATTCGTAAGTAATATTTTATTGCTGGTCATCATTCTTTTTTGTGTCCAATTTCAATGGTTTTGTAATTGAAATATTGAGTAATAATTGGTAATATTTTTAAATCTTTAAAAATCTAAATATGGTGTTCTCAAATGAATAAGGAACTAAGAGACTTCTTTAACTAAAGCTTCTGTTTTAGTTTTTACAGAAGAAATTCATGTTGCCACTTCTGATTTGTGCCGTCTACAGAAATTGAAATGATACACTGCTGCGTGATAATATAATGTTAACTCTACAGCTGCAACTTTATCGACCAATTTAGAATTGTATATTATATATTTATCAATTTTTAAGTTACAATCAGCAACTCCAATATTAGTTTTGTGCAGATTGAAAGCAATATTAAATGTTAGTTTACAGATTTGACAAAATGCTTCGTTGTCTTTCTTGGTAGCTTTAAACGTTTTATAATAATTTTGCATATTCTCATGAAATTTATACTTTCTTTTGCTCATACTTTACTCTAATAAGGAAATCATTTAATAGCATAGAAGTTACCGATGATAATGTAATTAGATGAATAAAATTACATTTATTTTCAAAATTAACAGGTAATGTATTCCTGTACATATATACCTTCTAATAACAAACGAACTTTTGTTTAATTTGAACAATGTAAAAAACTTTAATTTTAGAATTATACGAGCGTAAGATAAAAAAATAGTTTTCGCTCTAAACGTTCGTCAATGTAGCAATACAGGACGAGATTCTTGAATTTGTAAAATATTGCTGTTTTACTATTCTCTTGTCTCTATTTAAATCACAAAACACAAAGAAATAATGAATTATTAGAAGTAACGACTAGTGATTACTGGAAGATAGACACAAGTATGGATTTCGAAGTGTTGAATTCTTTCAAGTAATATTTGCGTAAAACGACATAGATTTCATAAAAGTTATAAAACTTATTTATATTGCCGTGCTACTATTTGAGCTAGGTGTACAAGAACGTAGTTAAAATATTCAAACAATGAGGTATTAAATTTTGTGGCACTTACCGCTGCCTGGAAACATTTCGATTCCCTTCAATTTTGCGGAACTGAGTTGTTTTATTTTCTGCTTCGTCTTACGTTTCCTTTATTGGATTCGTCGAAGTAAATTTAATATCGCTTATATAAATATGCACCGTCACTAAACTCTAAAATATATATATTTCATTATCGAAAGTTTTAGAAAGATCTTTTTATCCCGCTATTCGGATTCCTTCGTAGGTATTCATACGCCTCTTTGCGCGGGGGACTACTTTCTCCGCGGAGAGAATTGACCAATCATAACGTTCGACTCAACTCCAGTTTTGTTTCCTGCCTCGTTTACGTTTGCTTTATCGCATTCTTCGAAGTAAATTTTTGATCACTTATATAAATATACACGGTAATTGAACTGTAAATATATATATCTCGTTATCAAAAGTATTAGAAAGACTTTTTATCCTGTCATTCAAATTGCTTACATTCTTCGAAATAGAAATATTTCGTAGGTATTCATACGCTTCTTTACGCGGGGGACTACTTTCGCCGCGGAGAGTTTTGGCCAATTGTCGTTGTGCGACTGAACGTGTTCTGACTTGCTTTCGAACTTCGGTTAATGCAACACGTATTCTTGGCATCTTCCGACAAATTTTTCTGCAGTATGAAATATGACATTACGAACATTGAAATGATAATTAGGTGAGTTATCCATGAATAATATAACCTTTATAGGGAAATGGTACTGGTGTAATTGGAAATACTATTTTTTTATTGGAAATATCGTTTTATTCTACTATTTCAAGGAATTTTCTTTGCCATTTTGTAGCTATGTATTTGCTGTTTGCCTGGTAGGCGACGAGTAATGCACGACAACGCAAAAATTAGACACAGGTAAGAAATTTTAAACAATTCTATACTTCGTTTAGATAAAATTGGAGATCATGAATTTTAAAATGTTGAGTAAGAATTAGTTTGTATTAATTCTATAGAATATCTGAAATCTATTCTTTTGGCCGAATATTCGAGATCTTTTTAACGGTCAAAGTATTTAGTATTTCATTTTCTGTATCTACAGTTTTGTAAATTGTTATTTCTGTCATATAATTTATTATTATGAAGTATCTAAAAATAATTTTAGATTTTTTTATATTTCTACGAGAATATTCAAACGAAATGTATTCTCAAGAATTGAAACGCGAAATATCGAAAGTTGCTCATCATATTCCGCCAATCACGTTCCAACTTTTGTCAGCTGAATTCACATTCTTTTCAAAACTGTTCGGGCAGCCATAGTTGAAAGAGCTTTATTCATTTTCCGTTTCTAGTTTTCATTGTTGAGTTAATTAAAAAATTGTTCAAGTAACAAAATAATGTAAAAGTAACGTGAAAAGAGTATTGTGTATTACGCTCTGTTACTGTTAAATAGTTCGTTTTCTCCGATTTTGAACGCTGCAGGTAAATAAACAACGGACTGAGAACAGCAACGAGTGAGCGGGCGAGAGGACGCAAAATAAAGTCGTTAGTAAAATAAAGAGTGAATATTGTCTACGTATACGCAACCTGCCCACCTTTGGTTCTAATTGAACAGTTACAAATTTACTACTAATTTCAGGATAATGTCAGTTCAAAATTTTGTTAACATAATATCTATGTGTATTATTAAATAATAATTACAAAATTATATATACATACATAATATAACTAATAACACTCACGAAATATAATTTTACAAAAATATTCTTAGTTATTAAAGCTAGTTACATTTTAAAAAAATTAATGATTTATTTAATTTGTTTCAGATATTATTGCCAATTCCTGAAGGTAGGAAGTCTATTAACAGAATTTATTAGCCAGCAGTTGTCGTTTGAGCTCGTCGTGGACTCACCAGTGCGGTGAGTCGCTATTTCAACATTTTATTATTTTATAAAAGTGAGCATAGCGATACACGAGAAATATGTTTATTCGTATAAAAAAAGTTAGGGACTAATTCATATTGTTTGTCTTATACATTTATTAGATTAGTTTAGGGTCTTTTTGTCTCCTTTTTACTGAATATTTAGAGTAGAAGTCAAACACGACCCTTCGATTTCACGGTTGAAATAATGATTTTTATTTAATTTTGATCATCTTTAAACGATTCTAATATTATCTATGATCTTTTACACTATGTTAACTATATTTGTTATTTATTTTTGATTTTATTCGGTCGAATCATAAATCATAATTGAGTATTTGAAAAGAGTCGTGTTCGGCGAAATGTACCACGCGAATCGTTTCAGTTTTAACATCATTCTCGTCGGCGTGAAACGCATAATCGCACAGGTAAGTGGTGCTAATTTGGGAAATCTTTTTCCCGTAAACATCTGATTGCGTTCTATGGTTTTCCACGTATCGTACGTGTTATCCGCTCGATGTATCTCGCGTCTCTATCCACCCTTGCGCCCCCGTTAATAGCAGGCAATTTCGTGTTCCCTCTGCTAACCCGTGTAATTGAGCCAATGTGTGTTAATCAGGGGTCGCCTCAGTTGCCACAGGGAATAGTCCGAATTGCTTTTGTTGCTTGAAATATCTTGCTGTTGTGTACACTCGGTGTATCGATTTTTATGAATACTCGTTACTTTCGTAGAATGAATGGATATCACCGCATATAAAAGCAATCGAACGTCGTTTCTCTTCTCCATAGTCGCCACATAGTCGAGTTAAGAAGTTGATCTTTTTATTTTAAATTTTATCGCGAATTTTGCAGTTACTTATTAAAATTACTTATTATATTCTGTTCTTATTGATAAATCTTGAGTATTATTTAAGTCAGAAAATGACAGCATATGTTTACGTACTTATATATACATATATATATTTGATTATTTATTATTTGCAATACAAAAAGCGATACATCGTGCAGTCACAGACGAGGTATACGGGTAGACCTTTCACCTTAT